AAAGAGAATTCAGCTGATTGCAGGGCCTTTTCCATAAAACTCCAGCAGTAATTTTTCTCTTAATGATATATTTCCATGCGGTAAATAGTGAGCCAGAAGCTGTGTTGCTATGGTAGTAAGATTTTGTGGGAAGGAGGGCAAGATCAGACTGAACGTGTACCTTTTCTGTTTCTCTTTTAAAAGTAATACATCTGTGGGGAGCGAAAATGCCCTTCAGATTTCACAAAAAAAAGCCAAAGTGAAAGTAAGCTGCCCAGGCCAGCTCTCCCTGAAGCCGCACTTCTGTGACAAGTCATTATTTCTTCATTTGTTGCAGGAGAGAATTTCGACCAGAGCCCCTTAAGAAGAACCTTCAAGTCCAAAGTTTTGGCCCATTATCCTCAGAACATTGAGTGGAACCCCTTCGACCAGGATGCCGTCAACATGGTAGGTAGAGGAACTCTTTTCTCGAGCTGTTTTCTGACAACTTCAACTCTAAAGTGGTTCCTGGGTTGTTTACAACCAGCCGATGTGATGTGATGAACAAGGTGCTTCTGCTAGGACTAAGTGCATCCACTAGGCGTGCTGGTTGAAAAGCTGCAGAGGAAGAGGTATTGTGAAAATACAGAATACTTGCAGTAATTTACTTTTGTTGTACTTGAATTTCCCTCATTAGTTCTAGTAAAGTCTACTGCATGATGAAACAAGTCTAACCACCAGCTCAGTGACTGGCTGAGAAGGGATGTAGTCACCCAGGATGAATATCCACAGCTGGGAAGGAGGCAAACTGCTGAATTTTTAAGATACTAATATCCATGTGAAATTTTTGAGTACAAAAAAACCTTGATGCTGCATATAGCAAGGGAGAGAGGAATCTTTACGGAGAAGCTGGAACTTACCTAAACCGCGGCTTTTGTTGGGTGGTCACTTCTAATGGCACCTCTGCACTAATGCATCTTCTATACATCTCTTTCCTCTCAGCTAAACTTGGTGTGAGTTTGTCTGTGTGGCTAAGTCCAATGAACAGGAGAGGGAGGAGAAAACAGTTGGGGGCAGTGACAACTAAAGACGGATGATCCACTGGAAATTTTCCCAAAGAGTTGATATTCAAAGGATGTTTCCAAAATCACCAAAGCACTTGTTAAGAATGTGTCCTGACAAAGACAACAGATTACTGGTATTTGAGCTTCCCAGTACAGAAAATGCTATTTGTTTTATAACTTAAAAGTAAACGGTTGTTGTAATAATAACATGTTATTACAATAACATTATTACAAAACATGTTATGCAATATTACCAATACCAGCTGTTTTCAAAACTGTGTATTGGGTCTAACCCAAAATGGGAAAATTAGGGAACCCTTTCCCCCCAGCCTAGTTTAGATGTGCTTCACGTTTGAGGAGGGTAGGACTACATACTAGCTACTTCAAACCAGAACTAACCTCAGCGTATGGTGCGGGTATGAAGTCAAGAGAATCTCCTGGCCCTTACTCTGATGGAGAAACAGGGAACACATAAAAACCACAATAAAATGGCTTTTGTAAATGCAGCCTGAATTACATTTAGTTCACATTGGAAACTTCTCTGCAATCATGAGGGTGTAGAAATCTTCAAAGTTCATCTCAATTTCCCCTGAATTTTATCTTTTAGCTTTGTGCCAAATATTTAACATGAAAACCCAGGAGCTGGAAGTAGCAGTGATGCTGAGAGCTGATACTCTCCACCTGCACATGCATACAAAGGCAGAAATGAGCCTACTACCAGTATCAGTCACTTTGCCCACTGACAGCTGGGGATTTCTGTCCTCTGCTTCCAAACGTGCATTGATGGAGATGGTGCGGTATTTGGGCAGGTCTCCACATCACTTTGCCTATACAGAAGGCATGAAGGACTCAGAACGATGCTTCATCAGCACAGTTAAGATGGTAATAACTCAACTACCAAGGCTACTTATGCCTTTTAGTTCTGCCTTTGAATTGGGAGTGTTCAGAGGAGAAGTGATGGGGGGT